AGCTGCACCAAATTTTCTAAAACTTTGAGCGAAGTTATCTTGACAATTACCTGATTAAATTCGATGAAATTTTTTTTATTTGAATCCTATGAGTCCATAGAATTCAAATAAAAAAATTAGTCAGGTTGTCAAAATATCATCATTCAAAGTTTTAAAAAATAAAAACTATATCAAATTTTTTCTAAAATTTTGAGCAAAGATATTTCGACATCCACCTGACCAAATTCGATGAAAATTTTTTTATTTGAATTCTATGGATGCATAGAATTTAAATAAAAAATTTTCATCGAATTTGACAGGTAATTGTCGAGACCTTCGTTAAAGTTTTAGAAAATTTGGTGCAGCTTCTATTTTGATAAACGTTTTGATTTTGTTAAAACTTTGAACGAAGATATCTCGACAACCACCTGAACAAATTTTATAGGTAATTTTTTTTTATTTGAATTCCATGCATCCAATAAAAAAACTTTCATCGAATTTGGTAAGGTCGTTGTCGCTCGTTTAAAGTTTTAAAAAAATCAAAACGTCTATCAAAATAGTTAATCATAGTTTCCGTGATTGGCTAACGGCCGAGGATCTTCAAAATTTTGGCCCACATTACAAAATTGTTTACTAATTTCCGGCCGGGGTTAACTTTTTAACTTTTTCATTACAAAAATAGAAATTAAGCCGCATTATGGTAAAATTGGCCCAGGAACGATTTTCATTTAATGGGCGGCTATGATTTTATTAGTAAAAATTATGAGTAATTCCGGCCTAATTTTTTGCTCTTAGCCAATCAAAATCGAAAATCCGCCGGTCCAATTTTGTTGCGGCTTACCCATCAGTTCAAGGTGTATGAGTTCTTGAATGAAACTGGAAATTATATACAATGTTAAATGATAGCTTTCAATATAAATATACTACGTACTGTACGTACAGTACAAATATAAATTAATAGATATCTTGATCTTCAACAATCTAACCATTTTAATTTATGATATGCAAAGTCATGAGTTACTTTACAAATAAATAATGTAAAAAAGGTTTTATCAGTAATAGGTAAGTTAGTGTAGTGGTATTGTTCGCTGTACAGTGTTCGATACCTAGGATGGGGCGCGCCAAGCCAGACCGACGGGTGTTGTGATGGCCCTCATCCGCGCACAATTTTTTCGCACTTTTTTTAATCTTATTTTTTATTAGTTACAACTGAACTTGGTTTTTATTTTTGTTTCAAAAAAAGTATGTTGAGCTTATATTGATGATAAATAAATAGTTTTCATAATTTTTGTTTCGTAATTTTTAAATCTTGCAAAATGATCCTCTTAATCGACCAATGAAATTACGAGATCAGATGTATTAAGATTTTTTCATCTTTTACTGAGGATTTCATCATTTTGCTAGAGTTCCTTGCCTTTCACCCCTCGTGGTTGTCTTCTACCAACTGTTTACCTAACAATTAAACATGATGCACACTCTATGAGATTTAAAGCCTAGCCTAGATAGTTACTACAGCATTTTTTCGTTCAGGGAGGAGTTAACATCACGAAAAAAAAATGATGTTATATACTAATTACGGCTTAACCTCTTGTCTTTTTTAGGATTTTATCTTTTAATATTTTCTTCCTTCAATGAAGACTTTTCACCGGGGTTTGCCACTTCATAGGAGTTTCGTCTTTTATCGGAGGTTTCTTTCACATAATGGCTTAGTTTTTAACTTTGCCAATTTCAGATTTGGCTTTTCACCATTACTATAGAATAGGTTAGCACGATAAATATAATGATTATAGTCGATTTAGTATCAGCTGAAAAAAATTGACTTGGCTGACTAGGGGTGTTCTCAAGCACCATAACCAATTTATCGGAACAGGTCTGTGGGTAAATTTTTATTGGAACATGTGGTGTTAAATATTGTTATCAATATGGAATTGGAATTGAAAAGGATAAACATAATAAGGCATTCATTTATTGTAAAGAGTCTGCGTAGATGGGACCATCGGAGTTGAAAAGAATGAACATAATTCATCAAAATCTGCAGAAATGGGCTCGCTAGTAGAAAATATAATAAAATTGGAGTTGGAGTTGGAGTTGAAAAGGCTGGACATAAAGCAATCATTTACTATAAAAAATTCACTCGCTAGTGAAACATATATTATGAGATGTTGTCATCGGAATGGAATTGGAGTTGAAAAGGATGAATTGAGATTAGAAAGGACGAAGGTAAGCATTCATTCAATATGAAATCTACAGTGATGGGAGATGGAGATGCTGGTAGAACAAATCATGCTAGATATTGTTATAGAAAAAGATAAACATAAGGCGTTTATTTATTATTAAAGATTAGAAGAAATAGAACACATTAAATGAATGTATAATTTCGAATATTATTAAGAAAAGGATATTAGATGTTGCCAAAAACCTGTGCTAATGCAGAGCAACAAATATTTTTATTTTTTCGCCTTGGGGTGTTTTCAAACGCTTCACTCAATGGATCGTCAGAATTTGAATAAATTAATCAAGTGAATTACCATTCAATGAACAACTCAGCGAGATATAACCCATCTTTTTTCTTCAAAATTTACCATTGATTGAGGTCATTTGAAAAAATTTTCAGCAAGACCAATTTAAGGGTTTTGGGTAGATTTTTCATATTTAACGGTTACTCATTTCGAAAATATTTTCATATTACCTATGATACTTTCAGTGCAAAGTAGCAACTACAGAATTACAATAGATTGTCTTTGATAATACTTGTACAGCATTGGGTATATTCTGGAAGTGATATCGAATTTTGGAAGCTTTATTGGGGTATTTCATATACTAAATAATCAAGTCTATATAAGGCATTATAATAAAATTTCTGCATGTATTATCTGAAATTTTTGCTCTTATGAATATCTGGCAATATTCTTTAACCGAATCTTGAAACGCTTCAGCACTAAAACTATCACAAAAACTTACAATAAACTTTTATATATAATATGATAAAAACCTTTTTTACACAATTACAATTTTAAATTTTCGGTTATCAACCCAATTCGTAACAAATTCAGCTTTTTTGATTAAAATATCTAATGATAACAGAGGCTGAGTCTTAAAAAGATTCAGCATTAAAACTGTCACAGAAACTTACAATAAAACTTAAGGTCTTCTTTTACACAATTATGGATTTGGATTTTTGGTTATTAAGCCAATTCATAATGCACACATCTTTTAACTAGAGTATATATAGCAAAACAAAAGATAAATCCCTGCTAATGTAATAGTTAAAAATGTTTGATTAAATAAAAATTTTAAACATTTAACTACACTATGACAATTAGGGATGGGAACGGCTATGGCTATAGCACTGCTATAGCCGGTTATAGTCGGCTATTAGCCGTAACCGATATTAGCCGACCGCTAAATTGTAGCCGATGTCAGTTTTTTACAGCTGTTTTCATAATCTGGAACAACTGACGATGATCGAATCGATAAGTTACCGAATTGGAATCAATAAGTAACCGACTCGGCTGAACAGAAACTTATCGATTCGGTCTTCGGCAATTTTTTCAGTTGTTCCAGAATTTATGAAAACAGATGTAATGTCCTGGCTGATAAAAATAACAATTACAGCTGTTCTCATAAATTTTGGGGCATCTGGTGAAAAATTGGCCGAATGATTATTTAACCGTCTCGATAAAGTTTGTGATTTCGGTAATTATCAATATATATTAAAAGATAATGTATATCAATTACTATTGAATCTCGCTAAATGACGTTTTCAGTACATAATCATTGGAAAATTGTTGACAATTCAAATATGATATTTTAGATTTAACAGCGATTACTTCAGACAAGCTAGGCGTTTTTAAAATATTTATTATAGATGAACAAGCTAAAAGTTCTTTGGTTTTAAATCTAACGCTCAATACTTTCATATAATTCATGCTGATTCTCTTTTTGATCTATTTTTTATAATATCAATTATATATATAAACCTTTTAAATAATATAATATAAATTTTTTACTTCGATTTCGTTGACTATAATTCTCAACACAGTTTCGACAAATCTTAATAAAATATTGGTTGTCTAAAATTTTGCGCTATATTTTTTAATCCAGTCAATATATTCTTGATCATATAGAACCATTTTTATTAGTGCCTTGTCCTATCGTATATTCGGAACCTTTCTTTTTTAAGTTCTGTTGGTCGGCAAGAACAGTCTTTGCTATAAATTTTCGTACAGACTCAATACACCAAACATACTGGACATGTATTCAAGCGAAAACTTAATATTGAATGCGTTAACTTTGTAGTACCGTTCAGAATACTGTCGCTACATATTAAAAATATATGTGAATCACACCACAAACTAAAGCTTATCACTGTCGAATCAAAAACTTATCAAATCGGTCACAATCATTTAGTCAATTTTTTACCAGATGCCCCAAAATTTATGAGAACAGCTGTTAAACTTAATTCGACAAAATAGCACATTGGTAGATTTGCATTACCTAATAGAAGAACTTATTATACATAATTCTGGTCAAAGATCATTTTACCAGATTTAAAATTGGTTTGTTCTGGATCTGGCCAAATGATCTGCAATTTTGAGTTTGTATTGGACTCATCTAGAGTTGTATATAGTGATGGATTGTATTATATCAATTACTTAATTAATCTCACATTTCGTCAGTAATAATACGTATTTTCTAATAATGATGCAATAATTATACAATTAATAATTATTGTACTATTTTTATTTAATGTTAACATATTTAAACTTTCTTTCCGCCTTCAACAACCGTTGCATTACCAAATTAACTCAAAAAAAAGTGTTATTTTCATTTTAAAATTATACAAATATCAAGAGCTTTAAATCCTGTTATTATTACTTATCTACCATATAATATCAAATAATCAATTTAGCCCATCTCTAGTTGTATAACTTACTGTAAGTAACATTTTAAGTTATATAAGTTACTACAGATATAACCATAGTTCCATATATAGTTTTTAGGTGAAACTATTTACATAAATGGCAAATAATCATAGCACTGTCGAGGGTGAAATCTATACTGATCCTACAATGGTGCCATTTGAATGTTGTCCAAACAGAGAGAAAATCCTTTCGTCGTCGTTTTCCTTTGGGCAACTGTGCCGAATCGGTACCTTGGCAGGCCATGCATGGACAAAAGAAGAACTGAAGACACCGTGTTGTTTTATGGTCCCAAACATTCAATCTATTGAAGAAAGAATTTTGGAAAGTGTGTTTCCAGTGCCGAATGGTGAGGAGCAGGGTGAACCTCGAGAAGGTTGCGATAATTCGAAGTCTCTACTTATGTTAGTCGAAATGATCGCAAATAAATCAGATCATAAACGCGTTGCAAAATCTCTTGGCTGTAAACTCGAAGGTGGAGATATTCCTGGTTGCATTAGTTACATGGAAGACATTAAAATGTATTATGGTTTTGATAATATCATTATCATCGGAGAACTTCATTCTGGAATTCTTTTTTTTGGACTGCTACAGTTGTGTGTTCGTGTGGGAAGAAATGTGTAATATTTTATGGATTTGGGGGATTATTGGAATGAGGCAACAAAGACTCAAGTAAAGGGGTCGATTGGACTGTTGTTAACTATGAAGAATTTCTGAATTATAAGTAGGATTGGTAAAGTCCCTAGGTCCGGGACTTTAGAACCTGGTTTTTAAAGACCAAGCCAATTTACTATAAGCTGAAAGAACACAAAAATGTGTTTTTTTATTTGCGGTGAAGATTTTAGCAAGTAATAAAGTAATAAGGTAATAATTCGTCGACGTTGGTAAGATTCATAACGATAATAATAATGTAAAAAGAGTGAAGTACTTGAACAATCATTTTTTCTAATAAATCAATGAAAAATTTCAACCGATAAACGCAACTCTATGAAAAAAAGATATTTGGGCCTCTATCTCTTGTTGATTGGAATGATAAATACCCTTAATCGGTTAAACGAACTTCCGCTAATAAAATTTTTCTTTAAACTTTCATCACGTGTTTTATTCATTGGAATAATTAATACAATTGATTTGTTAAACTATTTTTTACTAATAAAAATTACCTACAGACCTGTTCCGACAAATTGATTATGGTGCTTGAGAACACCCTTAGTCAGCCAAGTCAATTTTTTCAGCTAATACTAAATCGACTATAATCACTATATTTATCGTGTTAACCTATTCTATAGTAATGGTGAAAAGCCAAACCTGAAATTTGCAAAGATAAAAAACTAAGTCATTATGTGAAAGAAACCTGCGATAAAAGACGAAACTCCTATGAAGTGGCAAACCGGTGAAAATCTTTAAAAGATAAAATCCTAAGACAAGAGGTTAAGCCGTAATTAGTATATAACATCATTTTTTTTGTGATGTCAACTCTTCCCTGAATGAAAAAGTGTTGTAGTAACTATCTAGGCTAGGCTTTAAATCTCATAAAGTGTGTAACATGTTTAATTGTTAGGTAAACAGTTGGTAGAAGACAACCATGAGAGGTGAAAGGCAAGGAACACTAGCAAAATAATGAAATCCTCAGTAAAAGATGAAAAAATCTTAATACATCTGATCTCATAATTTCATTGGTCGATTAAGATGATCATTTTACAAGATTTAAAAATTACGAAACAAAAATTATGAAAACTATTTATTTATCATCAATATAAGCTCAACATACTTTTTTTGAAACAAAAATAAAAACCAAGTTCAGTTGTAACTAATAAAAAATAAGATTAAAAAAAGTGCGAAAAAATTGTGCGCGGATGAGGGCCATCACAACACCCGTCGGTCCGGCTTGGCGTGCCCCATCCTAGGTATCAAACACTGTACAGACGCGTACTGGACAGCGAACAATACCACTGCACTAACTTACCTATTACTGATAAAACCTTTTTTATATTATTTATTTGTAAAGTAACTCATGACTTTGCATATCATAAATTAAAATGGTTAGATTGTTGAAGATCGAGATATTATATTTGTACTGTACGTACTGTACAGTATGTAGTATAATTTATATTGAAAGCTATTATTTAACATTGTATATAATTTCCAGTTTCATTCAAGAATTCATACACTTTGAACTGATAGGTAAGCTGCAACAAAATTGGACTGGCAGATTTTCGATTTTGATTGGCTAAGAGCAACGATCAAAAAATTAGGCCGGAATTACTCATAATTTTTACTAATGAAATCATAGCCGCCCATTAAATGAAAATTGTTCCTAGGCCAATTTTACCATAATGCGACTTATTTTTTAAGAATTTCTATTTTTGAAATGAAAAATTAAAAGTTAACTCCGGCCGGAAATTAGTAAACAATTTTGTAATGTGGGCCAAAATTTTGAAGATCCGTCAATCACGGCAGCTATGATTAATTATTTTGATAGATGGTTTGATTTTTCTAAAACTTAAACAGAAATATTTCGACAATGACCTTATCAAATTCAATGAAATTTTTTTTATTGATTTCTATGGATTCATGGAATTTAAATAAAAAAAAAATTATAAAATTTGGTTAGGTGGTTGTCGAGATATCTTCATTCAAAGTTTTAACAAAATCAAAATGTGGAACATGTAAATTATTTTTGTGCAACAAAAATAAAGAAAATTTTAAAATTTCTTATCTCAAAAATTTTGTCTAGGAAACTACTGTTTGAGCTCTAACAAAAAAAAATCCTTGCAAAATTTTAGTATATACTACCGTATATTGCCGAAAATAAGCTACCTTTTTTGGCCAAAAAAGTGACACAAAAATCATGGGGGTAGCTTATTTTC